GAAGGAAGGAAGGAAGGAAGGAAGGAAGGAAGGAAGGAAGGAAGGAAAGAAGTAAAAAAAATAATGTCATTGTCTTAATGGAGCTTCTACTCTTGGTAGATAGGGGAGAAAAGCTATTAACAAAACAACAGAATGTTACATGTTGTAGAGAAACATGAAGCAGGCAAAGGCATAAGTACAGACATGCACATTGAAATTCCTCTGGAAATTGTGGAGGCTTGGGGCTCATGGCTGCTCCATTAGACAGACAGTACTATCTATGTCTTATGGAAAGTGAAATGTGAATCTCAGTAAGTTTATAATGAGTCCCCACGCTCACTGAGCTGATGAATGGCAGAGTTCAATTAGTCTCTTGGCCCTCTTATCTTGATAATCCTCTCTCTAATTCCAAGCTCTAATGCTTAAGGGTGTGCAGCAGCTGTAACCCCATTAGTTGCTTAGGATATTCAATAATCAGTCTTTGGCTCTAGGAAAAATACTAATTCCCTAGTCTATGAGAATTTAAAACAGACTGGAGTTCACAGGCTCCTGTCTTGGCAAGTAGGTTTAAAGACAAGGAAGGACAGCTTGGAACTCTCCAGGTGAACGGGGCAGAGAAGGGACCAGTAGCTCCCCAGTGCTAATGATAAGAGAAAAGTGGGAAAGGGAGGCAGGGGTAGAAGAACAGAAAGGAGGCTGCTACTCAGCATGGCCCCACAGCAAGTTCCAAACTGGTAAGTCACGTCTAAAATAGCTTGTGAAAATATTGAGACTATTTTCCTCTTACTAGGGAGAAAATGTGATGGGCCTATGAGTAACACATGTTGTATAAACTATACTGACAGAGCTAAAAAGATGAATTCGACTTAAAAATGTAAAAAAAAAAAGTGTTTTAAAAAAGGGTGCAAGATGTGGCAATTTTGGTTTCTTTCTGACTGCATATATTGTTCTTAGTAGAATTACTGCGTTTTTTTTATGGGTCAAATTTCGTTTTGAAGAATGGTGAGAAGATAAATTTTACCCCACAGAATGGGTTACAGAAATGATCTTAGTTGTGACTTTAGCTAGCCTTAGACATTGTCAGAGCAGCTGGGAATTCCAGCTGGGTCAGACAAACCAAATGAGGTTTATCACAACACATATTCACATAAAATACGTGTGTGTGAGTTGGCCACATTTGCTGGAGGTGCACTTCTAGAAGCCCAGTAACCTCAGACAGGTAGGATCCTCATCCCTCAAACCAAAGATGGTTTCCTGCGGTATACAGTCAGGCAATCTGGAAGGACAGCCACGGCCCTAGGTGGAGGCTGCCTCTGCCTTTCCCTCCTTTGAGATCAGTGACTTTGAGATCAGGGCACAGAGAACGATGACACCGTCATCACATGGATGCTAATGCCCAGTTAAAATTACTTTTCTTTCTTTCATTAGATAATAGTCAAGACATTGGACTTTTGTCGGGAATGGTCTTCTTGGTCATCATGTTGCTGTTTTTTTCTCTCATTGGGATATTTAACAGATCACTTCGAATAGGGTAGGTTTTTGCAGTTTCTGGATCCTGATTTAGGCCATGATTGTGTACTGTCAAGATGTAGTCAATTCAATTATTTTCTAGAAAAACACATTAACATCCTTATTTTGAAAAAGAGAAATGTATTATTACCATTATTGCCTGTGTATAGTTTGTGACTGGGAGAAGGTTCACATGCCACAGCATGTGCTTGGAGATCATCGGACAACTTTGTGGAGTTGCTTTGCTCTTTCCGCCTTTATGCGAATTTCAGGAATTGAACTCAGATCCTCAGGTTTGTACAGCGAGATCTTTACCAGCTGAGCCATCTCGCCAGCCCTGAAAATGGAAAGTTGAAGGACAGGTATTTAATACGTACCCACGTTTGGCAAGCTCTTTACAAATGTCGTTCAGTTAATCCTCAAAAAGATTTCATCAGAAAAGCTCTGTGTCCCGTATCGCAGGTGAAGTTAACACGGCTCAGGAAGAAAGGTTGACTCCTCCGCCCAAGGTCACCAAGCACTCAGCAGAGAGTGAAAGTGGATATCAACCTCCATGTTCTCGTCTGCCCACACAGCTCTTTGGTTGTGCCTAAGCACTGTCCACAGTGCCTAGATTCTTCACAGTGGCCACAGGCTGCCTTAACTTCCAGCCAAACAGAAAAGTCAAGCAGTGTGAACACAAGCAGTCAGCTTAAGTTGTCACTCCATTACCAACTGCATTGATGCTTATGAGTCTTGCCTCAAAGCCCCCCTCTTTAAAAACACTCTAACAATTTCACACATGTATATGGTGTATTCTGATCATGTTCGCTCCCCATTCCCCTTTCTTACTCCCCCTCTCTACCCCACTTAGTTTTTAAATGGGGTTGCTTGCCTGTGCACAGATGTAGAGTTATTTACCTAATCATGGCCAACTTATCAGAGACTATACTCTCAAAGAAAAATGATTCCCCATCACCTGCCAGTAGCTCCTCGGCGAGGGGTAGGAATCATGTGCAGTTCCATATCCGTTCTGGAATGCTTTGCAGGGAACTGCGGCCGATATGAGATTGTGAGCACAACAGCCCTGCCGTGTTCTAGGGACAGTGGTTCACAACGCTCCTCCCATCCTCTGGCATGCTCTCTTGAGCCTTGTAAGATGAGGGCGTTAAAGATGGTCCAGTCAGGCTGGTCATTAAATATTTACTTATTTCTCAGCATTTGGACCTGTTATGTGTCTTTGCATTGACTGCTGCTTACTGCAAAAAAAAAAAAAAAAAAAAAAAAGCTTCTGAGCTCCTGATAGCTCAAAGCCCACCCCCTAGTGACACACTGCCTCTAACAAAGCCACTCTACTCCAACAAGGCCACACCTCCTAACAGTGCCACTCTCTATGGGCCTATGGGGGCATTGTTATTGAAGCCACCACAGCAACTAAAATTAGTAGTAGTAGCTTTTGTTATTTGGGGGATGAACTCATCATCTTTCAAACAACTCTACTCAGTATGGTAGCAGCAAAGGGCCATGCTTACTAGATTAAAATGAGATATGAGGGAAGGAAAGGCCTCTGATTGCCTGGATATTGCCAGATACACTGTCATTTCTAATATGTTAATAGACCAGAGTTGCTAAATGTTGCAGTTTTCTAGTGCATCTAATTATGCACTGATTTGGGCACACATGAACATTCATTGGTTTCTGGCTTAGACAGGATGTATATGTGTCAAATCAGAAATTGGAAGCCAGTTTCTTTTCCTTTCATTCTTTGTTTATTTATTTGTTTGTTTGTTTTTGTCATTAGTTTCATGAGCTAATCTTTCATTGAAATGTATAATCAAAATGAAAGATTTTTATGCAAGTTACTCTATAAGTTATACTAACCTAATATCTGCACAGGCTTTTCCCACAGAACTTAAGTAAGATTTCAATTTTTAAATTATATGTTAATAAGCATATTTACAGTACCTTTTCAAAGTGGACAAACTAGTATGTAATTTTGCTTGGGGATGTTTTAAAATGTAATTATTTATGAAGACTCTGGAAATATGTTAATGTTCAATTAATGTCTGCAAAAATTCTAGTATTTATATTATCATCCAAAGATATCCTAGATATTTTCAAATTTTAATAACCATCTTATTGCTATAATTAGTATAACCCAAAGACTTTTATTTAGTAATAATGCATAAGAAAATAAAACAATTCATGGATAATTTAACTGCCTAAGTTCTAATTTTAAGAAGATAAAAAGAAGGCAGAGTAGATGGTCTTTCAGTAAAGCACTTGCTTTGCAAGCAGGAGAACTTGAGTTTGAGCCCTTGCACCCAAGTTAACAAGGCCACAGGTGGGGGGTTGCTTACTTATAACCCCAGTGCTGGAAAAGCAGGGACAGGCAGGTCTGTGAGGCTCCCTTGTCAAGCTCCAGGCCAGTGAGAGACCCTGTCTTTAAACAAGGCAGGTAGCATCAAAGGGATGAGCTCAAGGCTGTTCTCAGGCCTCCACATGTACACATATCCAAACATACATACACACACATACACACAAATGCACACATGCAAAATAGAAAGAAAAAATAGTTCCAGTACAAGTATTTAACATACAAGCTACATGCAGATAGTTATTTAATACAATTATACATGACTGATAAAAGCCTGTTATTAGAAGCAGAACTAAAACAGAGACAAAAATCACATCTTAAACATGAACAGATTAAGACCAAGTTACCAATAATGCATCAGCACCACATTAAGGAAAGCAGTGAAAGCACTTCCCTTGGAGTCATTTAGCCAAGTTACAAATGAGTTCAGATTTGAATCCTCTGCTTCAAATCCACCTCCAGAGGTGCTCCCTGTACTTTTAATCCTCATCTGTATGTTGTATGAGTCTGAATCTGTACCTGCCTGAAGTCTGCCTTGTGAATCTGTCTGTCCATGTGTCTGTGTGTGTCTATTTCTGTGTGTGTCTGCCTGTGAGTGTTGTGTCTTTCCTGCACAAAAGGATTCACTCTACTTATTGAACAGCGCAGAAAGCATCACATGGGAAGAAGTGTGATACTTTACCGAAATCCCAAACAGTTTTATAAGGGATTAAGTCCCTGGTTCTACCTTATTCCAACTGACCCAGATAACAAATACTGTTTATCAACCGACAGCCATACATGGTTGCTTTATAGGAGATTTTAGGAAGTGGCTTTCAACTTCTACATTTGCTGCTTTTAGCAAATAACAAACACATTGTCTGGGTCAGGAGCATGATGCATAATATTAATATCATGTATTGTATAATATTTAATATTCCAGCTATGCATTAGCTTAGGCTATGGATGTTGCTTACACGGAAAATCCAAGGCAAGTAAAGTTGGCTGTTATATTGCTCTCTTAAAGGCAGGTTAAACAAACTGAGTACACAGGAGGCTAGAATTCTTAAGTCTTATGTGACCTTGAGGTGTATTATTAAATCTGGCTGTGAGACCCAGCAAAAGTTCCAGTCTTTTAGAATGGAAGATATTTTCAGAATATTGCATAGCCATATATATATAGTATGATATATAAATATAATGAAACAAAGTTAAATTTTAAAAAATATATGTGTAAAATCCCTTTATACTGCATCAGTGTGGTATGGTAAAACATCCCAGTAGCATCAACTCACTAGCTTAGTCTAATTATAAACATAGAAAGAACATGAATTAACTTAAAAAACTGAGACAGAGAAGAGTGTATAAATATATGTAGAGAAATCATTTTCCCTAGTATCAATCAAGGTCAAAGGAGCTTGCCAAGTTCACTCAGCCATTTTGCTTGTTACTTAATAAATGTGTCTAGAGAACCTGTTAAAAGAAAGAACAGGTCTTACTTGTTTTTCATAGTCTCTTCATGTGTAAAAATATACCTCAGATCAGTGTGGTCTTGTCTATATCCCTGGTACAACCTGTTTGCCCAAATGAGCTTGCACAGTCAATGTAGAATGTGCTTTTATATATGAAGACAGCACCAAGAGGAACAAGGAACATTTGACAAGATTTCTTACTGAATGCTTATTCTTTCTTTCTTTCTTTACAATTTATTCATTTTATATTCCAATTCTAGTCCCCTCCTTCATCTCCTGCTGGTCCCACCTCCCTCATGTCCCCCCAACCCCTTCCCCTAGTCCACCGAAAGGGGGAGAGATTGAAGCCTTTGCTTCATGAGGTTAAATTGCATTCCATTCTAGCTCCGCTTTTGATTGCCTGCAGCAGTTCTAAAGAAACATTGTGAGAGACTGTGACGGTCACAGTTTTAATCCCAGCACACAGGAGGAAGAGACAGGGAGTTCTCTGAGTTCAAAGCCAGCCTGGTCTGCAGAACAAGTTTAATGATAGCCAGGGCTACACTGAGAAATCCTGTATATATATATATATGAAGAAGGAAGGAAAGGAAAGGCAGCAGGTGGGTACTGCTTCTAATGTATCATCTTGTTTTCTAGAATTAAAAGAAAAGTCTTACTGATGATTCCTAAGTGGCTTTATGAAGATATTCCTAATGTGGAAAATAGTAATGTTGCAAAACTATTACAGGTAATCAAACAACACCAAACAGAAACTGATTGGTGCCCTGTGTGATGGGGTAAGCCAGTAATACTAGTACTGGGAAAGCTGAGGCAGGAGGATCACACATTCAAGGCCAACCTGAGCTATATAATAAGACCTTGTCAAATAATCAAGGACTGGAGAGGTGGCTCTGTAGTTAAGAGTTCCTGTAGCTCTTGCAGAGGACCCAGGTTCAATTCCTAGCACCTACATGGTGGCCCATAGCCATCCATAACTCCAGTTCCAGAGAATTCAATGTCTTTTTCTGACCTCCACATGCACAATATACACACACAATGCACTTGCATATATGTAAGCAAAACACTCACAAATATAAAATAAAATAAATAAATCTAAAATAAATAAATAGTAAACAACAACAAAATTTCCATAATTGAAATATCAGTTGGGACCAAGAATGCAGTCTAGTCGCTAGGCTATAAACAGAAAGAGGGAGAAAGAAAGAGAGAAGTATGGAGAGGCCCGTGTGCAACAATATCCATGTACACATACACATACATGTACTTCACATGTACTTATATATCACTCACATCATGTATCATATATCATATACATCATTCACATGCACATACGTTCACATGTTACACCCACACACACATGAACGTCACACATACACATCATGTATGTCATGCATATTATACCCATCATGTACACATACATCATACATATGCATATACATACACACATACATCATATACATGTACAGATACCTTATCTACATCTACATCATCTACACCTACGCACATATATACATATACATACATGCCCATACACACATGCACATATAAACATACACACATATACGTGTCTACATATATATATATATATATATATATATATACATGCATACATACATATGGAAACAAAATTGTAGCACTTCAAATCCTACTTAGTTGAAATGGCAGAGTTAGGGGATTAAAGGGCAGGAGAAAAGAAACTATACTATTCAGGAGGAAAGCAAGATGGAAGATTATTTACTGCCTTCAGGGCAGAGGTCGGAGGGAAGAAACATTCTGTAGAATATGTACTAAAGGTTCCAAGAGACTTGTTTACAAGAGATGAAGATGTGTCCAAGTCTCAGGGAGGTACCGTTTCATTTCTCCAACTTTATGGACTGCTTGAAGATTATTATTGGGTGCCCATGGAAGATGGCATCACCAGGGGTGAGCTAGGAAAAGAGGAGTACACATGACAGCTTTGGAAAGCTGGGGGTAGGGGGAGTTTTGCCAGCTATAGAGCGGAGGAAGGGAGGAAGGGTCCGATGTGTGTGTTTCCAGAACTCTGCTTAGCCAGCACCATTGTCAGTGAGACAGAAATGTCATCTAAACATGTATCGCTGCCAAACCAATGGCCATAGAAATGAGACCCCAAATGTGATGGGACCAGAGAGGAAATATGAGACTATGAGGACCTTCTTGAGAGAAAGAATATTCCAGGCAGAAGGGTGAGCTCGAGAACAGAGGGGACAGCAATATCTTGGGCAGACCAGGCCTTTTATAAAACAGACACACACAGCTCTGCTTAAAGCTGGGTGGGCCCATTGTCTTAGTTTGCTTTCTGTTGATGTGCTAACACACCATGACCAAAAGTAACTTGGGAAGAAAGGGGTTCGTTTCATTTTTCTATCATCTATCATCTATCTTCTATCCTCTATCCTCTATCCTCTATCCTCTATCCCCTATCATCTATCATCTATCATCTATATCCAGGAAGGAAGGTAGAAACCTGAGGCAGGAAGTGATACAGAAGCCATGGATGAGTGCTGCTTGCTGGCTAGCTTTCCATGGCTGTTCAGTGTGCTTTCTAATAGCATCCAGGGTCACCAAATCAGGGTGGCACTGTGCACAATTATCTAGTCTCTCCAACAACAATCATCAGTTAAGAAAATGCACCACAGGCCAATCTGGTGGCTATGTTTTCTCAACCGTCTTCCAAATGACTTTAGTTCGTGTCAAGTTGACACAAAACTAGTCAGCACACCCACTAGTCAACTTAGCCCAGAAACACATCATTTGAAAGAAGGGGTCTCAGGACAAAATTAAAATAAACAAGTAAAATTGTAAAAACTTTTTAAAAAGGTTTTAATCAAGAAATAGTCTTAAGACATGGGTTGTTTTTAATTCTTTCTTTGGGAGACATTAAAAAAGGCTTTAGAAGATATCAAAAAGACAGAAGGAGGAAATCATCCAGGAGATAAACACTAAGAAGATAAAGAGAAAAAAAGTTGGGGAAATAAAATTTCAGCCACAACTCATTTACTCAGTTGATTCTTTTAAATGGTTTTTGGTGAAGTTTTTTTTTTTTTTTTTTTTTTGTTTTTTTTTTTTTTTTTTTTTTTTGGGGGGGGGGTTGGGGGGTTGTTTGTAAAATGAAGTAATGTCTTTTTTTTTTCTCTAGGAAAAAAGCATGTTTGAGAACAATAATGCCAGTGAGCAGGCCCTGTATGTGGATCCTGTGCTTGCAGAGATAAGTGAAATCTCTCTGCTGGAACACAAGCCCACAGATTACAAAGAAGAAAGGCTCGCAGGACTCCTGGAGACAAGAGACTGTCCACACACAACGTCATCTACTGGTTCTTCTGTTGTGTACATTCCTGATCTCAACACTGGATACAAACCCCAGATTTCGAACGTCCCCCCTGGAGGAAACCACTTCATTAACGGAGATAAGAGAGGCTCTGCAACCCTCGAGGCCACAGGTGACCACTCTGCCAGACTGAAAGCATACCCCAGCTTCGCATTTTCTGCCTCAAATATGACTTTACTAAGCAAAACACTAACTTTTGATGAATTGAATCTAGTTTTAAATCAAGATGAACTCAATCTTCTTGACATACAAAACTCAAGACAGGAGGAAACCAGTATGATTTTGGGGAGCGACTCACCCAGTGAGACTGTCCCAGAGCAGACCCTGCTGTCTGATGAATTTGTCTCCTGTTTGGCAGTCGGGAGTGCGGACTTGCCATGTATTAATTCTTACTTTCCACAGAACGTTTTGAAAAGCCACTTCAGTGGGATTTCACTATTGCAAAAGTAAGACCATGGCATCAGAGTCTGTGGGAGATGCCCTCCCCCTGCAAGCCAAATCTTACCTCAAAAGAAGAGCAATTACTGTTCCATGACATCAGGATGGAACATGTCTCACTGACAAATCAAAACAAAAGAGAAACAGTGAGGATGTGTTTGTTTGTTTGTTTTCATTTTCATTTTAATATTTCCACTTGAGACAGGATCTCACAGAGTCCAGCTTGACTCTAACTCACTATGTAGCTCAGGATGCTGAACTCCTGGTTTTCCTCTGTTCCCAAGTGCTGGAATTAAAGGCATGTGCAGCTAGAACCATTTCTTTGATACTTTCTTCATTAAATTGTAAAGAACAGCTCTGTTTGTATAAAGGATAAATAGTGCAGAACACAGAGTAGTGAAATAAATGTAGAAAATGGGTCTTTTAAAATCAAAACATGGATATTTCCTTACACAGGCAGAAACAAGTTTAATTTTCATCTTATCACTTAAAATTCTCCTGAGTAGATAAAATACAGAACCAAACAACAAAATAAGGCAGAAACAGAGGCTATTAACATACTTGCTTATTGTTCTTGCAGACTTTCCTTGTTTTAGATTGAAAGACTGTAAAACAGTGGTTGGAACCATGGGCCTGCTTTGTCCATTCAAGCTACGAGTGGAGAGTGGTGGGCTTCCTTGTGTAGCAAACACTAATATTTACATTCTAGCAAAATCCGTGTGAGGTAGGAGGCACAGGATCGACAAGACAGGCACTCTGACCGCTATTGTCAACTATGTGTTGAGTACGCCATAAAACTATCTAAAAACAAATTTGTATCCAACTCTGAGATGGCGAATATCCACTACATTTACTCTTGTCCCATAGCCTGTGTCTGCTGCAGGCATTGCAGGCTGGTCATTACATGCCTCAGTTTACTCTTTTCTCACCCTACGAAGCCATTGTGCTTTAAAGTAGAACAACTAGTTAAAATGTAAGAAGCTTATAAGGCAATGTAAATTCTGTCTATCCTAAAATACATACGTATATGTTGCACTTTACATCATCTAAAAAGGATTTTTTTGTATCACTCACAAAATACAAATGTTAAATATTTTGACTTATAAATTGTTATGACCTTGCCTTATTTTTCTCTAAAGGAAGACTGAAAATAACAGGTCAGATTTGAGACACAGTGACAAGATGGGTTTGTCTTGTTGACTGATCTGGCATATTGTGGAGGACATTTGCATATGCCATGTCACTGTAGTCCTAAATCTAAATCTATTTAGAAAGTTTCTGTCTAGTTTAACAGATGAGAGCAAAGAGTTCTTTGCTCTTCAGTAAATGCTTCTGCAGCAGCGCCGTGCGTGCCAGGTGCTGTGAAGGGAGCAACGGTTTTTGTTCTGTTGCAGCTCCTCCCACCACATCCCTGTTCAGAGAGGAAAAACTTTTTTTTTTTTAAATTAGCTTACAAAGTAACAGGTTTCTTTGTGGCTTTTTAATATATCCTTAGTTTTGGTTGACACTCTCCCCACTTTGTGTCCTTTCCCCCTTGCTTACTAAGCCCTCCCACCCCCAGTAATCCCACTCGTGCTTACACAGCACGTTTGTTCTATTGCCCCCCATCCCTCTACCCTGAAACCCCCCTTTCTCCTCTCAGGGGCCTCCACACATGCTCATGTCTACAAATGCACATAAACATATCACAGCCAAGGAGCCACAAATGAGAAAGAACATGAAGTTCTTTCTCATGAGCTCGGGTTGCTTCATTCAAGCAGTGTTTGGGGGATGAAGAGATGGTTAACGTGGGCACTGCTTTTACAAGAACTGGAGCTCCATTCCCAGGATCCGTGTTTGGCTCACAGCTGCTCAAGCTCCAGGGGATGGGACAGCGTTTCTGTCCTCTCAGAGCACCTGTACACATACACCCTATACAGACAGGCACTTAATTTAAATACATATTTATAGAAAACAGTATGTAATATTTTCTAGTCTCATCTATTTTCTGCAAATTTCATAATTTCATTTTTCTTTGTTGAAGAACAATATTCCATTGTGTGTATGTACCACATTTCACTATCCATTTATCAGTTAATGACGTCTACACTAGTGCCATTCCTTGATTATGGAACGTAGAGTAACAATGAGTGATGAACAGTATCTCTCTAATGGATGTCCTTTTGTTACAGGCCCAAGAACAGGAGAGCTGGGTTATACAATAGATCTATTATTGGTTTCTGAGGACTCTCCAAACTGTTTTCCACTGTGTCAGCATCGGTTTACACTGCCACCAACAATGCGTGAGGGTTCTCTTCTCCCACATTATCACCAGGATTTGTTTTCTTGATAATGGCCAGTCTGACTGGGGAGGGATGGAATCTCAAAGTTTTAATTTGTATTTCCCTGATGCATAATGATACCAAACACTTTTTTTAAAAAACCACTTATTTATTCTTTGAAGAACTCTCGGCTAACCTTCTAAGCTTATTTTTAAATATTCAGGTTGTCTGTTTCCTTTATAAAGGTCTTTATGTGTATCTGCGTTTTTCACAGTGCATGTCTGTATACCATGTGCGTACGGTACCCATGGAAGCCAGAAGACAGCAACGGTGCCTCTGGGACTGGAGTTACAAATGGTCGCAGTCAGTGTGTCACTGCTAGGGATCAAAGTCAGGTTCTCTGGAAGAGCAGTCAGTGTTCTTAATCCCTGAGCCAGTTCTCCAGCCCCTTGTTTGTTTGTTTGTTTGTTATCTAGTCATTTTAGTTCTTTTAATATTCTAGATATTAATCCTCTATCAGAAGTACAGCTGGGAAAAATTCTCCTATTCTGTAAACTGTCTCTTCATTTGATTAACTATTTCCTTTGCTGTACAGAAACTTTTTAATTTCCTGAAGTCTCTGTTGTTTCCTGAGCAACTGGAGAACCTTTTCAAAAAGTCCTTGCCTGAAGAAGAAATCAAGAAACAAGTGGAAGGGCTAGAGAGATGGCTCAGAGGTTAAGAACATGGCCACTCTTCCATAGGTCCTGAGTTCAATTCCCAGCAACCACATGGTGGCTTACAACCATCTATAATGAGATCTGGATCTGGTGCTCACTTCTGGCTTGCATGCATACATGCAGTCAGAACATAAATAATAAATAAATAAACAAATATCTTTTTAAAGAAACAAAGGAAGAAAGGAGGAAGGAAGGAAGGAAGGAAGGAAGGAAGGAAGGAAGGAAGGAAGAAAGAAAGAAATGACAGACAGACCTTGGAATAAACCTAATGAAGGAAAGACCTGTATAATGAAAACTGAAGCTACTTTTTTTCTGTAGAACTTTCATGGTTTCACCCCTACACTGAGGGCTTTGATACTCTAGGAGTTGACTTTTGTGGTGGATAAGAGATAAGGATCTCATTTTATTTTTGTACATGTGGATATCTAATTTTTCCCAGTGCCTTTTGTTGAAGAGGCTGTCTTTTAGCCAGTGTCTTTTTTTTTTTTTTTTGGCATTTAAAAAAAAAATCACATTACTGTAGCTATTTTATGTCAGTGTTCTCTCTATATGTATCTTTTAGTATGTTTTAGCACCATGCTGTTTTTATTTTTATTTAGCTCTGTAGTATAGCTTCAAATCAGGCAAGGCAATCCCTCCTTTACCTTTTTTGCTCAGAATTGCTTTAGCTATCTGGGGCACTTTGTACTTCCATGTATATTTTAAGATCCTTTTATCTAATTTTATGAGGAATAGTTTTGAGGTTTTGATTGGATTGTGCTGAAGCTGTAGATTTCTTTGGTAAGAAGGCCATTTTTGCAACACTAAATTCTCCTGATCTATACGTATATGAGGTTTTTCCATCTTCTGGTGTCTTCCTTGATTTTTTTCCTTCAGTTTTTAAAGTTTCCTTACAGAGGGCTTTCATATCTTTAGTTAGGTTTATTCTAAGGTGTTTTGCTTATTGGCTTATTTGTTTTTCAGTCTGTTGTGAATAGGATTATTTCCTTGATTATTTTCTCAGTATACCTTCACTGATATGTAAGAAGGTCATTGATTGGTGTCTTGTCACCTTGCTGAAAGTGTTGACCAGCTCTGGGAGTTTTCTGGTAGATTCTTTTGGTCCCTTATGTAGAGGATCATGCTATCTGCAAATAGAGACATGCTGGCTTCTTCATTTCCTGTATTTATCCTTTTATTTGCTTGTGTTATTGGGTTAGCTAAATCTTCCAGTACTACACCAAATACAAATAAAAAAAAAAAAGCGTTCCTTAATTTAGTTGAAATATCTTGATTTTTTTCGACACTTAGTATGATTTTGGCTATAAGTTTCTTAGAATTCATTATGTTGAGATACGTTCTTTCTATTGAGTTTCTTCAGGACTTTTATCAAAAGGGAGTGCTAAAAGGATAGCTCAATGTAAGAATCCTTGCTGCTCTTGTAGGGGTCATCAGAGTTTGTTTTCAGTGGCTCATAGTCTCCTGCAACTTGAGCTCTAGGAGCTCCAAAGCCCTCTTCTGGCTTCAACAGGCACCTGCGTGCATATCTGTGCACATGAACACACACACACGTAACATACATTAAACATACTAAGGAGGAATCGGGATTCAGGATTTAGAGCAGACATTTCTTTCCCCATTTTACCTTAGAGTTTAGTAATGGTCTCCTGGCGTGCCGGCTGGTTTTATGTCAACTTGACACAAGCTAGGATCATTTAGGAGTAGGGAACCACAATTGAGAAATTATCTCCATATTATACTATGCCTGTAGGCTAGGCTATTGGGCAATTTATTAGTTAGTGGTAGGAGGAACACCCTTGTCCTATTGGTCCTGGGTTCTCTAAGAATGCAGGAGGAGAAAACCATAGGAGCAAGCCAGGAAACCACAGTGGCTTGAGCTCTTGCCTCCAGGTTCCTAGCTGGTTTGAGTTTTTGCCTTGACCTCCCTCAACGGGCTGTGATTCCGAACATGTAAGCCAAATAAGCCCTTTTCTCCCCAAGTTATCCATCCAGGTCATGATATTTTATCGCAGCAATATTAACTCTGACTAAG